GGTGATGAGAATGATGATGATGCGTACACATGAGTTATGCTCAGGATGAGGCGGATCGGAACGAGCGATGCGGATAAGGAGGAACACGATGATACCACGAATGAGGATGAGGATTAGGGTGAATATGATGATGAATTGAGAGGATATCGCTAAATTAAACACCCGCTGTCAGAGCAAGTCGAAGTCCTTGGAGACCAGCTTCTCCACGCCTCGGGAGAACATCTCCGAGATCGAGTGTGAGCGCTGCGCGGCGAAGAGGATGGCCGAGCCGATGAACAAGTTTCCACTGGAGTGTGGGACCAAGGATCAGTGTTAAATTTGGAGGAGAAGGAAGGAGGACGGGAGTAGGAGAAGAAGGCGGAACGGATGACGGAGGCAGGATGGAAGACGGAAGGACAGGGAGACCAGGGCGGGAGGAGGAGGATGAGAAGGAGGGGCGGCAAGACGATGGGGGTAAGAAATCTCTGTGGGCAATGGGCCGCTCCGGTCACATTGTCCATCTCCCCCATCACTCCCCCCAGCAAAGTACCTCCGCTATTTTGTTGGGGGAGTGAGGAGGGAGATGGTCGAGGGCAGGGGGGCGGTGGACATGGCCCGTTCTATCCAGGCGCTTGACATCAAAAAAACAGTTTCCGAGGAGAGCCCCATGGGATGTAAGACTCCCAGCAGGCACCTGGCAAGTCCAGGGCTCGCGACCTCCAGGATTCGAGTTCGGACTATTCGTGCTCGGCGACGGTGGGGCGACCGTTGCAACCTCGAACGCATCTTCAAACGATAGCTCTGGGTCCTAGGATCGATCGGCGCTTGAGCGCCGTGCGCTTAACTTTGCTGCCAGCGATCGATCCTGGCATCCTGAGCTACCGTTCGAAGATCACGTCCTCGTTTCCCCCTGTCACCTCTGCCAGTCGAGCTACGATGACACTGACATCGATGAGAAGGGGGACCCCGCTCCAAAAGGGTCGGCGAGTGGCCTCGGGGAGATTCCTGAGATGCTGGGGAAAGCCGCGCACCTGAAGGTGCCGCTACAGGGCTTGGAGGCGCGACCGAGGGGGAGGATCGATGAGGAGGAAGAGGAGGAGGAGGAGGAGGAGGAGGGGGATGAGGAAGGAGGAGGAGGAGGAGGAGGCGGAGGAGGAAGGGCGAAGATGAGGAGGCCGAGGAGGAGGATGAGGAGGAGGAGGAGGAGGAGGGGGAGGAGGGAGTGGACGCGGGGGGGGGGGCGACGAAGGATCAGGTCGAGCACGCTAGGATGCAGATGATCAGAGGAGGATGAGGAGGATAAGGGGGGGACGGCGAGGGGCTGGATGAGAAGGAACACGAGGAGAATGAAAGGGGAGGAGTGGCCCCCGAGGCGAATAACTACGCGTGGTACGAGCCTTTCAAGGGGGAGGTCTCGAGCGTGACAGCCAAGCTCGAGAAGACCGCCGCGGATCTGACGTCGCTGATCCAGGGGGCGCCCGAGCCTCGGATCTGTTAGGGCAGCGAGAGTTGTTCCTGCTCAGCTTTTTTTTTTTTTTTTTTTTTTTTTTTTTTTTTTTTTTTTTCTTTCCTGCTCCTGCTCGCCCTCGATTCCCCCTCCTTCGCCTCCGCCTCCTGCTCCTCCCCTGGCGTCGCTGATCTAGGGGGCGCCCGGGCCTCGGATCTGTTGGGGCAGCGATAGTTGTTCCTGCTCAACTCTTTTTTGTTCTCTTGATCCTGCTCCTGCTCGCCCTCGATTCCCCCTCCTTCACCTCCGCCTCCTTCCCCCCCCCTGGCGTCGCTGATCCAGGGGGCGCCCGAGCCTTGGATCTGTTAGGGCAGCGAGAGTTGTTTATGCTCAACTCGTTTTTGTTCTCTTGATCTTGCTCCTGCCCACCCTCGATTCTCCCTCCTTCACCTCCACCTCCTGCCCCCCCCCTGACGTCGCTGATCCAGGGGGCGCCCGGGCCTCGGATCTGTCAGGGCAGCGAGAGTTGTTCCTGTTCAATTCTTTCTTGTTCTCTTGATCCTGCTCCTGCTCGCCCTCGATCCCCCCCCCCCCCCCTTCACCTCCGCGTCCTGCTCCTCCCCGCTGCCCCGTTTCAAACCAGCTCTCCTGTGGAACCCCTACCCTTGGCGTCGTTCCCCCGTGGCCCCTCCTGATACTCATCTTACTACTCCTCCCCCCGTCGAGGGCCTGGGCCCCTCTCCTCGGTAACCCGAGGTCGACGGACCTCAGGCGTGGCATCAGGGGCGGGCGCGCTCGCATCCAGGAGGCGCCCACCTCCATGAGAGAAGGGGGAGGTAGTTGAGGAGTGTCTAGGGGGGATCAGAGGAGGAGGGGGGGAGGAGAAAGAGGATGAGGAGGATGAGGAGGATGATGAGGATATTGGAGAGAGAGGAGGAACGATGGGATTGGAGAGGGGGATGAGGGAAATAAGGATGAGATGCTGACAATGATGATGATGATGATGATGATGATGATGCTGATGATGATGGTGGCGGCGGCGAGAAGGGGGGGGGGAGCAGGGGGGGGGGAGCAGGAGGAGGAGGGAGGAGGAGGAGAGAGAGGAGGGAGAGGAGCAGGAGAAGCAGGAGGAGGTGGACAGGGAGCGGTGACCCCCCCCCCCTGCCCCTTCGAGGGGGGGCGCGTGTGGGAGAACATCCGTCCCGCGATGGGCACCATGGCCGCAGCGACCCAGGGCGTCAAGAGCTGAGGTCGATCCCGAAGGAGGTGGGGGCCCCGAAGGAGGGCCTTGAGGTTCCGAGGGAGGTCGACCCCGATGGAGATGGAGGCTCTGAAGGGGAGGGCGAGGATGAGGACCTGAAGGGCAACGAGGATGAGGGCGAGGAAAACGCGCCCTCGGCTCCTGCCCGCCTCCGCGTCCAGGTGCGTGTCTCGTCTTCGTCCTCGTCGCAAGCTTCCCCCCACCCACCGCCTCGGGTAATCCTTGGGGGTCCCGTGCCCGTGCCCCCGCCCTCTCCCGCAGGCCCCGCGAATGCCAGGCAAACGTGCGCGAGTATACCCTCCGAGGCCTCAAGAAGGCCAAACAACAACAAGGCGCCAGGACCTCGACCCCTCTTCTCTTGCCGCGCGCGCGTTCCCGCTGTGCGCTGGGAATCAAGTTGCGCCCTCGCTGGCGCGAGCTCAGAAATAGTGGCGCACTCAATTCCCTCGAGGAGCAGTCGGGGACACGTCAAATATACGCCGACGCTTCCTGGCCCGGCCAATCCCCGGACGCTCGATGTATATGCATTCCCGCCTTGCGCGGGCCAGCGTGTGCATCCACCGAAGGCCTGGCCAGGATCAGCGTAGGCGTGGACTTGGCATCCCACCCTTCGCGCCCCCCCCCCCCTGCGGCCCGCTCTGCCGAAGAAGGGGTAGGAGGGAGAGGAAATTGAAATGAAAATGAAGATGCTGCTGCTGGCGCTGATGATGATGATGCTGGTGTTGATGCTGCTGATGCTGCTGATGATGATGAAGATGATGATGATGATGATGGTGGTGGTGCTGATCGATGGTGATGGTGGCGGTGAAAATGAGGAGGGGGGAGAGGAGGAGAAGGAGGAGGATGAGGAGGTAGACAGGGAGGAGGAGAAAGCGGAGGAGGAGAAACAATGAGAGGCGCAGGAGGATGCGCAAAGACTGAGGCCTGAAGCCCACAGTCATTGTGACGATACCGTCGCGTGAGGGTTCGCCCGTTTTGTGGTTGCGTTTTCGGGTGAGTTGGAGAGAGAACGTCATTGTGACGATGCCGTCGAGTGAGGGCTCGCGCGTTCTGTGGCTACGTTTTCGGGTGAGTTGGAGGCCGCGCGCGGCAAGCATTACTTTCCTGGGCGATGTGGGGGGTTGGGGAAGCTTGGCATCGCTCGGACGCGTGCATTTTTTCTCGGCGAGAACCGGCGAGGGCCATCCTGGGCCATCGAGCAACAAAGACACGCACAGAACAGACAAATGCACGGACAATGTGCGTCCGAGCGACGGCAAGGAAGGGTCAGATTTGGATCCGTAGCCCGATCTCTATCAAGATAAGATTTTCTTTTCTTCCTGCACCTCGGGCCCGTCTCATTCATGTCAGGGAGGGCGAGTGCAGCGAGACTCGTGGCCGAGAGCTCAGAGGCCCGCAGCGGGCCTGGGAGGGGGTTTGCTGTCCTGCCCCGTGGGGGAGGCAAGGGCGGAGAGGAGAGCCAGCTCGCCCAACCAAGTGGGGATGGCCTCCGCAAGTATCTGTTGGACCGCTATCAGCTCGGAACCCTCGCTGCAGTTGACGCGCGCACCATTGCATATCACAGCCACCGCGCAGGGGCAGTAGGCATCGGAGATCTCGCGCTAGATACTTCAAGTTCCCACGCCGCTGACCGCTTGCGAAAAGTGCCCCAGCTGAGACCGCGGGTTCAAACTTACACAGTGCAGTTGCCATCGTGGGGCAAAGACCTCAATCAGAGGGCGATGATCGATTTCCCATTCGCGTTGCCGCGCGACCTGTTTGCTTTTCACTGGCACAAGTGCCCTGCGGAATGGGGCCCCCTCGACTTCGACCCTGATGACCTACCCGCCCAATTCGCTGCCCACGAGGTGGTTCGGGAAGCGCCTGATCGGCGCGCCCCCGTCGGGTTCTTTTCGGATGCTGTGCCGCGTGCAAAGCGTGGCAGCTTTTATTGCTGGTACCCCAGTAATGGACTGACCAAGCAGCGGTTTGTCATGTGCACACTTCGGAAGCAGGATCTCTGCAAGTGCGGGTGCGCTGGGAACTGTTCCTTTGGGTTGATTCAGCGCGTCCTTCGGTGGTCCTTTGACGCTCTTGCAGCAGGCAAGTGCCCAGGGCGGGGCCACGAATTCCAGTGCGACAGAGAACTTTGGCGGGGGTTCGACCTGGCACAAGGATGGCGGGTGGCCCTTTCAGAACTGCGTATGGATTTGTTGGGGGTGACAGGTTCCCTCGGGTTCAAGACGCGGCAGAACCCTGTGTGACGTTCGGCAAGACAAGTTGTTTCAGCACCCAACGACCATGCGCCGGATCACGTGGACAGCCCGCGACAAGGATGTGTACCAAACGCAACTAGAGCGAGCACTCGTTACCGTTCAAGTAGATGACGAAGCGGCCTTGCGCCGCCTTGTCGCCAATCTGGAAATGAACGAGAAGGTGGGCGGCATGGTGACGACCCGTGCAATGCCAGAGTTCAGGTTAGGAAATAAATTCCTTTTGATCGAGAACGAGGACGTGCCAGATATCTACAGCCTTTCAGAAGTTGTCGTGCCCGCGCAGATCTTATTTTTCAACACTAGCAACAATCAAGGCTTAGACCGCGTTTGCGCCCTGTTCCAGATCAGGGGTGTTAGTATCGAGACCCTGTGCGTTGACGGAATGCACGTGATGGACCTGGGGATAGTTCAGTTTGTGCTTGGGTACATGTTCTGGGTTCTGGTGAAGAATAACTTCGCCAGAAGCACAAAAGGCAGGGCGGCGCAGAGGCACCGCGAGTGCCTGATACACTTGCGGAGACGGATTCGATCCTTCTACCTCCAGACGGGGGCCAACCAGAAGCGAGGGTCCAAGTCAATGGTCGGTCGATTAACATTCGAGATGTTTTTGCCGACCAATGTGGGAAGCCGCGCCTTAGTCCCGCTCTTGCCTTTGCTCTGTCGAGAGAACGTGGCGTTCCTCGGCCCTCGCTCAGCGCACTTTGTGCAAGCGTGTTTCCACCTGGCGGCGGTCTACAGGGCCCAGGCCACGGAGGTGCGCAACATGCGCCCCCCAAGCAATCCACACCTTCCAGAAACGAGCTCGGACAATGCACGAGCAAGCCTCTCGCACGCCACGATGGACGGATTCGCCTGGACTCCTCGTTGCCGCTGTGTTGCTGGATTCGCCTCCATCCCTGAGTTGGCTTGGGTTTCGCTGCGGTGCCCCGCGCGCGTGCGTTCTCCTTTCTCGTTCCAGACAGGGATCCTTGGCTTTCTGGCGGCGTGGAAGAGGTAGGTGTCGAGGCCACCAGGTGTTCAAACACCGCGTGACAGTCCACCTCGCCCAGCAAACTGCTGAGAAAGGGAACGCCAAGGCGTACTGGACGTACCCCGACGAGGCGGAGACTCGGCTGATGCAGAAAATCGCAAAGTCCCCCCACGGCGGCTCGAATTTTTATTTTGCGTTTTTCGAGAAAGCTCTCCCTGAGAAAGCTTGATCGCAAGACGCGAGATAAACGTTGGGGTCGTCAACCGTGGGGGGCGTTTCTGTGGTTTTGTGCGTTCGCTGGTTCTGTGCCTCGTCGGGGTTGTCCAGGTGCCCTGGCGTGATGATGATGACGGTGATCAACATGACGATGGCGATGGTGATGCTGATGATGATGATGCCGATGGTGATGATGATGATGATGCTGATGCTGATGCTGATGGTGTGATGATATTACGGTTTCCTTTCTTGGCGGTGCTGGCTGTGACACTTTCACCAGGACTGGAGAAAACATGAGCTCGCGCAGCAGGCGAAGCTCCTCTCTCTCTCTCTCTCTCTCTCTCTCTCTCTCTCTCTCTCTCTCTCTCTCTCTCTTTCTCCCCTCTTTTTTCCTGGGGGTGGCGGGGGAGCGGCGGATTTATATGTGCGTGCGCGTGTGCGTGTGTGTACGCGTGCGCGTGTGTGTTCGAGTAGTAGGGAGGGGGGGGGCGGAGGGCTCGCCTTCCCCTCTCTATCTCACTATCGTCGTCGTCGTCGTCGGACGGCGCCCCGCGCGGCAGCGCGGGCCTCGCCCGTGAAGTTTAGAGAGGGGTCAGAGGCAGCCAGGGCTCTTCGCCCTCGGATCCTCATCTTCCCTCGTTCTCCTGCCCCCCCGTATTCTCCCCAGCCCCTCCTTCGCGCATCTAGGGAACCAGCTCGCCCATCCCTCCCCCCCTGGCCTGGATGACCCTTCTCTCCGCCTCTCTCATCCCCCCTCTGCCCCCTCCATCCCTTCCTCCTCCGTGGAGGGCGGAAGAACAGGACTTGCCAACTCAATCGGTCGAGCTCAAGGCTCGAGCGATCCTCGAGTCCGTGTTGCCCCCGCCGCCCGCACGGGGCCCTCCCTTCCCTGGCCTGGGGGCGGAGGAAATGTCAAACGTGCGTGGTGAGTGTGTTGCATGTGTTGCATGTGTGTGTGTGTGTGTGTGTGTGTGTGTGTGTGTGTGTGTGTGTGTGTGTGTGTGTGAGTATCAGCGGAGGAAGCGTCCTTTTCTCCCCCTCTCCCATTCCCCCCCCCCCTCCCTTCCCCCCCCCTCCCCCCTCCTCCCTGGAGCGCGGAAGGAACAGACTCGCCAGCTCGATCGGCCGAGCCCTAGGGCCTCGAATGCGCGCCTGCTCCGGTTTACGATCCAGCGGGCCCTCCCTCGATTCCCTGGCCTGGATGCGGAGGAAATGGCGCACGTGCGTTGGGAATTTTAGTATCAACGGAGGCCTTCCCTCCCGCTCTCCCACCCCCCCCGCCCCCTCCCCTCTGCTCGCTCCCCCATCCCCCCTGGAGACCGAAAGAAGGAGACTCGATCGAGCCCAGGGCTCGAGCGATCCTCGAGTCTTTTTGTTGCCCCGCCACGGGGCCATGCTCGCCCTCGAGCTCGGCGTGAACGACATCGGGGTTGACATCCTCACGGTGGTGTTCGTCCTCCCCCACGTGCAGGTTAACATCATCACGATGGTTTTCGTCCCCCCCCACGTGCAGGTTAACATCCTCGCGATGGTTTTCGTCCTCCTCCTGGGCGGATGCGGCGCGATCTCGCCTCGCGCGCGCGCGCGGTGCGCACGCGCGCACGCGCGCGCACACGCGCACGCGCACGCAGACACACACACACGCACGCAAGCAAACTTCGGAGAGGACCGAATGTCTAAGACACGCATGCCTGTAAGTCCCCCTCCCTCTGGCCCCCCCCTCCCTTCCGCCCTGCACGCACGCGCGCGCGCTGCGCGCGCGCTCTCTTCTCTCTCTCTCTCTCTCTCTTCTCTCTCTCTTCCTTCTTCTCTTCTCTCTCTCTCTCTCTCTCTCTCTCTCTCTCTCTCTCTCTCTCTCTCTCTCTCTCTCTCTCTTCTCTCTCTCCTCTCTCTCTCTCTCTCTCTCTCTCTCTATCTCTCTCTCACGCGCGCGCACGCGCGCGGCGCGCGCACGCACGCGCGCGCACATGCACGCACAATCTCCTCCAACATCGATCCTCCCAGCGGTGATTTTGCAAGCGGATCGAGCAGCATGATGCTGGGGATGCGCATTCCTACAAGTTGCTCGCCTCCCTCCCTCCCTCGACCCCTCCCTCCATCACGCGCGCACACACGCGCGCGCACCATCCATTTCCGAATTCGAGCGATCGCAGGCTGAATGATATCAGCCGCCGCTCTGGCACGGTACTGCTCGGAGCGAGCTGCAGGCCCCCGGGCCGCCTCTCTCCCTCCTTGCCCACGCTTCGATTGGAACCGCCTCCCTCGCCCCACCAACCTCCACATCCACGCTTCCTTTCACAATTTCCCCCCCTTTCCCTTCTCGGAGAATTAGCACGCGAAGCTGGCCGCTGCATTAATGCAGAAGGGCCGCCCACGCTGCGCCTGCCATTTTCGCGCCCCCCTCCCCTCTCGATCCGGTTCGATCCGTGGGCGATCCGTGCAGCGAGGGCTTGGCGCGGGGGCGTGCGCCGACAAGTGGCTGACGCATGCGCAACTTCGAGGAAACGACCCACCCTCCTATCCCGCCCTCCCACCTCGTCCCCCGCATATCGCTCGTGCAGCGACAAGTGCCCAGGGGCGCAGTGCGATATTGCGACCATATGCTTTGGAAAGAGCCCTCATCCCCCCCCACCTCCCCCTCGCGGCCGCTGTCATGAAATCGGCCGATTATGTGGCCGCCGTCCAGACGCCCAGACCTCCAGGCGTCGTGAAAAAACCACAACGTGAGGTTTTTCGCTATGTTCGGCCTTTGGGGGCTCTCACGAGTACTGGGCCTCGGGGGCGACAGACCTCTGGGGGTCGACGTTGTGAAAAATCACGACGTCGGGGGTCTGGGTCGGATCCCAGGATGTCGCCAAGGGCAGCGCCACGTGAAGACGCAGATGCGCACAGATGAGCGCCGCCGACATCGTGGCCATCAGCGTTTTCGAAATAACGCCCATCCCCTCCACCTCTTCCTCGCTCGGGATCTCTACCTCCTCCGATCGACTAAGACCACCCAGTTGGTCGACACGCGTGGCCGCATCATCGCGCGGCGTAGTAGTGCGGAAATAACCGTCGCTTGCTCTACGGAAAATCGGCGACCGTCCGCGCAGTGCTCGGGTTTCCCTTGCGTGTTTTTTGTTGTTCCATTTTTTTTTTTTTTTTTTTTTTTTTTTTTTTTTTTTTTTTCGCCCGTGCCCCGGCCCAGGGCCCTGGGGCCAAAAAGCGCGCCCCCCTCGAGTTGCACCGCGCAGTGTCATCTCCGTGCACTCTGCGCATGATGTATGTATGTTTGTGCTATTTAGCGTTGAGAGGTGCATGTTTCTTCTTATCATCTCTCGCCCCTCAAATTTTGACTAGGGCTCGCTCGCCTCGAGGCGATTCGGCGGCGCAGGGAGCGCGGGCTGAATGGCGTGGAGGCCATTATGCACTACGCGCCACACGCATGCGGATGAAAAGTGCGGGCGTCATATATATATATATACATAATACTCGTGTGCAAATGTGTCGATATATATATATATATATATAGATCCTCGTTCCACCCCTTCCAAGCGTTTGAATCGATCCTGACGCTGCAGAAGGCGGCGTTGGCGCGTGAGCGACGGGTGTGATTTTTCTCGACGGGTGTTTTTTTTCCACGACGGGTGGTTTTTCTCCATGTTCGGCCTCGGGGGGCCCTTCTCGGACCTCGGGCGCGGCCCAGACCTCTGGGGGTCGACGTCGCGAACAAAAAAGTCACAGCGTCGGGGATCGATCGCCGCATCATTGTCTTTCGCAGGAGCGACGGCTGCGGGTCTCAGGCCAAGTTTGCTGAATGGACAACCGCAGGCTGTATTGCGCGCGCATGCTTCAGTTGGAAATGTGCGCAGATGCCCTGCCCATCGCTGTGTCTCCCCTTCTTCCTCCCTCTTCCCTCCCCCCTCCCCCCTCCCCCCGCGGTCCGTTGCAATCTTGGGTCAAAATTCGTTGGTGGTTCAAGTTAATTTGGTAGCGGAGATCGCCTGTCGATGGCGGAACAGCGGCGCGCGCTTCGACATTTTGGAACGCGCGATGCAACCCGATCTATATACATATATATATATATGTATATATATATAGATATGTATATATACACATATATATATATAAACACATGTATATATACGTATGTCAATGTATGTTTGTATGTAATCCAACGCCAACAATGCCATGCCATGATTTTTGTTAGATTGTCCGGATTTTTTTGCGATCGTCGTGATTTAAATTCATGGCGCGAGAGGCCGTCCTGAACAAATCATGGCCGCAGGAGGTCTGGGCACCGAGAACCCAAGGAGGGAGGACATCAAGTACATTCTGCTCATGCCGGAGAATGGCTACGACCTGCCCCGAACGTTCGACCTCGGGGATCCGAATGCCTACTACCAGCAGGTACTTGTACCCCGGCGTAAGGCCGCGCTCACGCGCCTCCTCAATGGGCAACTGAGCGCCCACCTTACGAAGAGACCGCCGAAGGCGGGCGGGGGTGGCGAGATAGGCGAGTCCCAGCCCTCGGCGCTAGGCGACGACAGGCCCAAGGCGGGGGCTGGGCCCCGGCCGAAGGCGGG